TAAAGAGTTGAATAGAAGATTTCAAAAGGCAGCACGGGATGACAAAGCAAAATATTACAATGAAATGTGCAAGGAGTTGGAGTCAGAGAATCAAAAGGGCCGAACTCGCTCAGCATATCGTAAGCTCAAGGAATCTGACCCACTTAGGAGCAAAGAAATTAAAAGCCCTTATCAAAACCTCTGAGTTCCAAATATTAAAATTAAATAAAATCGTTCAAGAAATTGTAGAAAACTGCAAAGCCTGTGGCTTAACAAATGCCAAGACCACTGATGAGACACCCGGTAAAAGGCTGAGAGGAGACAGACCTGGAGCATACTGGGAGGTGGATTTTACTGAAGTAAAAGTCACCGTTTATAACTATAAGTAACTGCTAGCGTTTGTAGATACCTTTTCAGGATGGGTCGAAGCATTCCCCACCAAGCAGGATACTGCAAATGTGGTAGCCAAGAAGATCCTGGAAAAAATTTTCCCACGGTTTGGGATACCCAAGGTAATTGGGTCAGACAATGGCCCAGCCTTTGTTGCCCAGGTGAGTCAGGGACTGGCCAAACAACTGGGGGTGAATTGGAAATTGCATTGTGCTTATAGACCCCAGAGCTCAGGTCAGGTAGAAAGGATGAATAGAACTCTAAAAGAGACCTTAAGTAAAATAGCTCTTGAGACCGGCATAAAAGATTGGATTGCTCTCCTTGCCTTCCCGCTGTTCTGTGCGCAGAACACCCCAGGGATCCTTTCATGTACCCCCTATGAGGTCCTGTATGGGGGACCACCCCCTCTTTCTAGTGTAAATGTGAAGTACAATGATGCCAGTTTTACTGATTCTGCATCATTAATGACTCGGTTGAAAGCTCTAGAAACCTGCCAAAAGGCAACCTGGCCAATGCTTCAAGAGATTTATAATGATAAATTGCCTCCCCTCCCGCACAATTTTCAGGTTGGAGATAAAGTCTTAATCCACCAGCACTGGACAAGCAATCTCAAGCCTCACTGGAAGGGACCCTATAAAGTGCTGCTGACTTCCCCTACAGCTGTTAAAGTAGACGGACTAGCAGCTTGGGTCCATGCTTCTCATGTCAAGCCTGCTCTGACCAGTGAAGATGACCAGTGGACTCTGGAAAGGACTGATAATCCTGTTCGTTTGCGCCTTCGTCGGGACAGCTGAAAGTAACCACAACCCGCACGCCCCTCACAACCTCACCTAGGTAGTCTAATCTCAAGCAGGGAGCATTGTATGGTCCATCTCTGCAATCGTTGCCCCTTGGACCTGGTGGCCAGATCTGTACCCTGACCTCTGTAAGTTAGCCCATGGAGCCCCTGCAGACTAGGATGTAGAAACAACCCTTAAACCCACTGCTCCCTCATGGCCCACTACCCATGACGCTCAAGGCCTTCTAGCCTCTGCCCTCCTCAGAGGATGAGCAGGTTGTGTAAATCAGAGACAGAGAGGGAACCTAAGATGGTTCACTTTCTACGTCTGTCCAGGGCATGACCTGAATACCCGAGGGCTAACTCGTATGTGTGTCGGACAGAGTGATTTCTATTGCCGAAGCTGGAAATGTGAAACAACTGGGAATACTTACTGGAAACCTTCCTCCTCTTGGGATTTCATAACTGTAACCGCTAACTACTCTCGAGTTAGTCTGGGAAATCCCAATTCCATTAAACAAGCAATAGCTGCATGTAGTAATTGGTGTGACCCCATAAAAATCTCTTTCACAGATCCTGGAAAAAAAGCCCGTCAATGGCAGTCAGGATATTGGTGGGGAATCAGGCTTTACAAAGAAAACTATGATAATGGGCTGTCATTTATGATAAAACTGTTTGATCATCCTCTACAGAGTACAGTAATAGGTCCTAACCCTGTGCTGGCAGGGCTCTCTCCAGCTGAAAATTCGCCTCCTGTTCCACCCCAGAGCCAACCCATCTTAACTTCACTCACACCAAAGGGGTTAAAAAAACAACCCGCCTCTACAAGGGACCATCTCCTCAATCTAATTCAAGGAGCTTTTAGTGCCCTAAATAATACCAACCCCCCAAATCACTGATTCTTGTTAGTTATGTTTAGCCACCAACCTGCCTTAATCGCAGTGGCAGGAACATATAAAAACTCCACTGTTCATAATAACTGCACTTGGGACACTGAGACAAAGTTAACTCTAACTGAAGTTTCAGGAACTGGAACCTGTATCGGAAACCCTCCTAGCAATCTTCGCTCATTATGTAACACCACTACCCAAGTGTCCCTCTCTAAGGGATACTTAGTTCCCAATACCAGATATTGGTTGTCCTGCAATACTGGATTAACCCTGTGTGTCTCTTTAGCTGTTTTTGATTCTAACTCTGATTACTGTGTGTTAATTTATCTGATGCCCCGGGTATACTATCACCATGATGATGAATTTGTTAATGAATTTGATCATGCACCTGAGCATCATTTTCGCAGAGAACCTATTATTATAACCCTAGCAGTCTTATTAGGAATAGGAGGAATAGCTGCAGGAATAAGTACAGGGACTTCAGCACTTGTCAATGCGCAACAACAATACCATGAGTTAAAAACAGCCATAGACGAGGATCTTCGGGCTATAGAGTCATCAATTACTCGACTAAAAGAATCCCTGACCTCCTTATCTGAGGTAACCTTACAGAATAGGAGTGGACTAGACTTATTGTTCCTCAAAGACGGCGGTCTCTGTGCCACGCTAAAAGAAGAATGTTGCTTTTATATTGACCATTCAGGAATAATAGAAGACTCCATGCAAAAGCTAAGGGAAAGGTTAGACAAAAGAAAACGAGACCAAGAATCTCAGGAAACATGGTTCGAGAGCTTATTTTATAAGTCCCCATGGTTAACTACTCTTGTATCTACCCTTATAGGTCCTTTAATACTCTTGTTTATATTGTTGCTATTTGGGCCTTGTATTATAAATAAGTTTGTTACGTTTGTTAAAGATCACATCAGTACTGTTCAATTAATAGTTCTAAGACAACAATATCAAAATATGAGAGAACCTGACTGCAATGATACTGCCTCCAGAGATTCTTGGTTCTATGATTAGAACCTTGTACTAAAAGAAGTGGGGAATGAAAGGAAAATTTTTTAAACAATGTCCCCACACCCAAGTATTGTAAGAACCTATATCTTTGATCTTGTGCCAATGTTTGTGTTCCAGGAACTAGCTGACCACAAGCTGAACAATTACTGTCAAAAATCGTATTTTAACTAACGTCAGCAGCAGGCAACTGACCTAAAATTGAACTTCTCCTTTTCCAAAGAGCCAATGAGCTAATTCCATGCCAAAGAACCCCTAGACCTTGTATAAATTCCCTTGCTTTTTTGGGCTCGGGGTCGACTTCCGTGTCTCCTACGTGAGATACAAGTTGTCTTGAAGCTTCGTCAATAAAGCCTCTTGTGATTACAGCGAGTGGATCTGGTGTGAGTTGCTCGGGATCGCGCCCGGTCTGGGAAAAGCCCTAGTTTGGGGTCTTTCAGAAGAACAAAGACTTTTGGAAGTGTGTCCAAGAAACCATTAAGAACCCAATTGACTAATTAGAGTGAGCAAGATACAAAACCAGAAGTTACTGCAGATCAGTAATGGAGTCCTGTTCATATCAAGCTTTGTTGTTGTTGTTATGTGCCATTGAGCCACTTGCAACTCATAGCGACCCTATTCACAACCCTGAAACCTGGTCTATCCTGTGTCAACTTTACTGTCTCTGACACACCCACCCTCATAACCCCAGACACTGTATCAATCTATCTCATCAATGATATTTCTCTTTCTCTTCCTCCACTCTCAGAGAAGGAAATGAAGAAAGCAATGCAATTTATAAAAGCCAACCAAAAACTGAGATACTTGAGAGTGAACCCAACTAGAGATACAAAAGCCCTATACAAAGAAAACTACAGAGTATGTCTGGAAGACACATTAAAAGACCTAAGAAATGGAAAAATGTGCCCTGTTCATGGGTAGGAAGACTCAATATTGTGAAAATGACAATCCTACCAAAAGCAATCTACTTGATTAGTGCAATCCAGATACAGAATTCCTTTTTCAAGGAAATTGAAAGGGAAATGATAAAATTATTTATTTATTTTGTTATTTATTTTTTATTTTAGAGCAAGAGAAAGAAACAGGTTTATTAGACATTCATAACAGACTATGAATGGGTCAGGACAGACTGACACCGTTTTTATCTTATAAAAGGGTTTATATATCTTTTGTTAGCAGGGAGTGGGGTTTAAACAGCTGATTAGTGCATTTTTTCTAATGGACCTATCTTGATTTTTGGCTATCTTGTTTATCTTGTCCTTGAATCTATTGTTTCAGCACATTGTTTAAGAGTCTGTTTTTACTGTTATATAGCCTCATTCCTTGAGGGTCCTTTCTATTATTATATTGCCACAGTTTGTCAAAACCAGTTCTGATTGATCTCCTTTGTCAACTTGTACTTTGCAATTCCTTGTCATCTCCCCCCCCCAAAAAGAGAGATTTCACCCTAATTCGTTAGGAATGGGGGCTTCACATTACTGTAGCTACTTCCTGCTGGAAAAGGGCTTTTAGGTTGTAGGGTGAAGATCTTCTCTCACTATTCTAAAGGGCCCCTTTGGCAATAGGAAACATGTAGACTATTGTGGCTATTGGTTTTGGAATTTAGATGCACTGCTATCAATTGTGCTTATGGATACAGGTTACATCCTTGGGAGTATATTATTTTAACATGGTAGTATTATTGCAGCCTAGAACAAGCATTTAACAAGTTAAAACTACATGGGCCAAAAATGAAAAGCAATAATATTCCAACTAGAGATTCTAACAATGACAGAATCTAAGTTACAGAAGAAAGATCTTAAAATAAAAGGCTTATAATTAGGAACGCCTAGCACAGGAGCCCAAAGAGGACTTTTTTTTTTTTTTTGGTACAAATGTTTCGTAGTTTGTTTTAGATTGTTTTCTCCACTTCTCTTTTAATTGATCATATAAGAGTTTGGCTAACTCTCCAAACTGAGGAATCTCGATCTTGCAAAACTCAGTGATCCTTAAAAATTACTGGGGAAGATAGGCAGAGTATCGTTTCCACCCAATCTGGGGAGAGCTTCTACTGTTATATGCCAAAATGAATCTCAAGAAATGAACTTCAAGGAGGCAAATTTGGGCCTTTTCTTTGGACACTCTAAAACTTTCTTTACTTAAAATGTCTAAGGTGCTCTGAGTATCCTGAACTGAGGCCTTATAGATCGGACTACATCCTAGAAGATCATCTTTAAGATTAATACTGTGAAATAGGTAGAGTTGGCTGGTACCCTGCCAATTATAGATCAAGGGTTAGGAACTACAGGATGTTGGAGGCACAGCTGTGTCATTTGTTTTCAAGTCCTGGACCAACTTCCATTTACTATTAGGGTTGTTTGTTTGTTTGGTTTTTTGGTTTTTGTTTTTTTTTTTATAGCCAGGATAGGAGTGTTACAAGGAGAAATAATTTCCGTAATTAGACCAGCTTCTTTTAATCATATAATTATAGGGGTCAGACTTCTCCAGTCTTCTGGAGATACCCTACATTGTCTCTGTTTTGGATAACTTACTCCAGGTTAAAAGCTATTTTAATTGGCTTACATTTATTGCCTGGGTAGGCAACCTAGAAGCCCAAACCTCTGAGTCTAGATCTCTAAATTCTGGAGGTAACGTTTCAGGATCTTCAGGTTGAACAGAGACCTGCTCTAGTATTTTTATGACTAGAAAAAATAAGATTTTAGTTTTAACTCTAAACATAAGAGTTCTACCTAAGAGGGGCAAAGGAGTTACAGGAATTATTAAAAACTGATGAGAAAACAGATAGGAGGTCCACATGCAAGGCAGAGGGGGAGTAAAGAACTGCTTAATATGTTTTCTGTCAATTATTATAGCCAAGAAATAGTGAGGAAAATGGACCTGAGAAGGCTTGTAGGACCAAATAAGAGGGTCCTGTGCCCAGGAGAAAACGAATAGACTTACCAGCAATGTCAATGCTCACCCATGGCTCTTCTGGGAGGATTTGAATTGTTGAAGCATTCTCCTTTGTTGCCGGCTGGGAGCCAGGGCCTTGTCAATCCTCTGTGGATTTGGCTATGAGGACCTGATGTGGGCAGTCCTTGGCCAAGTATCCTTCATGTCCACATTTAACGAAAGAGAGTGGGAACTTCCTCTCTATCCCCTTGCTTACCTGTGGTTCTCACCTGTGACACTCTACTAAAGTGACCTAGCTTTTCACAATGGAAGCAATTATGACTCACTTTATTACCTTTGAGTGGCACTGTATATGAGTAAGACTTCCTTTTCCTGACACAGGCCTTAAATTGGCAGCAATAGTTGCCCTAATAATTTTGGTCATTGTCTGCTCTATTCTCTCCCTGAATAGCAAAACACTTCTGAGAAACAAAAATCAGGTTGGAGGCATAGAACTCCCTGATCAAAACCTACCACACAGCAGTAGTAACCAAAACAGCATGTACAATGACAGGCACATAGACCAATGCAACAGAATTGAGAACCCAGAAATAGACCCAGCTATCTATGGTCAACTGATATTCAACCAGGAAATCAAAGCTATCAAATGAGGAAATGATAACCTCTTCAACAAGTGGTGCTGGTAAAACTGGACTTCCACCTGCAGAAAGATGAAACAAAAATCAACTCAACATGAATCAGAAACCAGGGGGCAAAGCCCAAAATCATAACATTCATTAAGAGACAAACTGGAATCAAGCTTAGAAGGACTAGTCCAAAGTATAAAGAGACTGCCAAGCACAGCCAGAAATGCACAATCTGAAGAGGATAAAATTGATGAATGGGACCTTCTAAAGATTAAATCCCTGTGTGCATCAAAAACTTTTCCCCAACACGGTGAAAAGAAAACCTACCAACAGGGAACAAACATTTGGTAATTTCATCTCAGACAAGAGTTTTATAATGCAAGTTTACAGAATAGTCCTGGAACTCCACAAGAAAAAGACCGATAACCCAATTACAAAATGGGCAAAAGACATGGAAAGAATTTTCATAGAGAAATATATTTGGCCAACAGACACATGGAGAAATGCTCCAAATCACTGGCAATAAGAGAGGTCCAAATCAAAACCACAATGAGATACTATCTCATTCCAGTAACAGTGGCAAAGTTTAACAGGGCAGCAAGTAATAGATGTTGGAGACCATGTGGCAAGAAAGGGACTCTTATACATTGTTGGTGGGATTGTAAAATGGGGCAACCATTCTGGAAGGCAGTTTGGCGTTTCCTTAAAAAGCTGAACATAGAAATTCCATCTGACCCAGCTATTCCACTTCTTGGAATATACCCTGAGAAAATGTGAACTGAGGCACAAACTGAAATTTGTACACCAATGTTCATAGCAGCATTATTTACCATAGAAAGAACATGGAAACAGCCTAAATGTCCAACCACAAAGAAATAGATTGAGAAATTATGGTACATTCACACAAGGTAATACTATATAGCACTCAGGAGCAATGATTTTATATTTTGCTACCTAACTTGGGAGGGAGTGGAGAGCTTTATGCTGAGTGAACTAACTCAGTCCCACAAGGATAAATATTGTATAAAACCATTATTGTAGAATGAGTATAAGGATCCAAGAGGGGTGGGAGAGGTTGGAAGCAGAGGTTATGAGGATGTGCAGGGGGAAGAGGGATTAATCATGGGATTGTACAATTTGTTGGGTGGGGAGATGAGGGATATTGAAAGAATCTGTTCTTGAAAACAATGTATTTAAATTTTGTAATAAAGAAGTGTATTTTTTTTAAAAAAAAATCCAATATACTATAAAACATACAGATTGAAGAGGTATGGAGAGAGAATAAAACTTTGAACACACCCATCTTAATTTTAAACCATTATTCTGTTCACATAACAATCTATAGGTATAGTTTTCACATGAGCACCATTAAGTGTTCTGAGATTCTCATTTTTCCTTTACATAGTCAAATAAGCATAAATAGACATTCTTCTTGTATTATTTACTAGTATTTTTCAGTTTCAAATGCTTCTTTTTGGTAGTTGACTC